GTCTAGTCGTATGTGATATACAAGTTGTACAGGAATCATTCTAAAGTTCATATGTTGTAAAACCTTGCATTTGCCGCTGATGATAATCTTTTGATGTGAGCTTCGGGAGACAAGTTCGGTATGATATCAACCCCTAGGAGATATCTTTCTCCCTACTTGATGTCATGTGTCCAGGCTCCTGCTCTCTACACTTACTTTCATTACTTTACACTTACTTGAGTTAAACTCTAGCATCCCTTTGTTGGACCACTTCTTCAGTTTGTCCAGGCGGAAATGGTGCACTGTATACCCTCTGGAAGATCGTTAGTGTATACTAGAAACAGGAGTGGTCCATGTACAGAACCCTGTGGGACTCCACTGGATAGATCTCACCATTCTGAGATATCACGCCTCACAGTAACTCTGTTTTCTGTTGCTTAGGTACTCCCTTATTCACCCGAGTCCCTTATCCAACCCTCCTGCCACATTCTATGCACGCACCAGCCTCTGAATGAGTGCATCTAGACGAGTACAGTTATGTGAGTTCGCCTGGGTGAGTACACTTAGATGAGTACTCCTAGGTGAGTACACCTATATGAGTACTCTTAGGTGAGTACACTAACAGCACCATCAGCTCCTTATAAGATATTCCCACCACATCTCCCCCCATTCGCATATACCCTCGTCACGCCACATCCGGTCACACACACGCATACACACACACACACACACACACACACACACACACACACACACACACACACACACACACACACACACACACACACACACACACACACACACACACACACACTTAGAAAGAACTTTTTTAGTGTCAGAGTGGTTGACAAATAGAATGCATTAGGAAGTGATGTGGTGGAGGCTGACTCCATACACAGTTTCAAGTGTAGATATGATAGAGCCCAATAGGCTCAGGAATCTGTACACCTGTTGATTGACGGTTGAGAGGCGGGACCAAAGAGCCAGAGCTCAACCCCCTGCAAGCACAACTAGGTGAGTACACACACACACACACACACAGTCAAACTTCATAAACAACTCTCCCACAGCACAAACGGGTTCTATTACACTATACAGCTCCAACAGCAGCTGCGTATTACAGATCAACAGTGAACACAAATCCCCCCTCCCTCCCTCCTCCCAATTAACGCGAAATTAACGCCACTGGGTGCCATAGTGCCACATACCCAGGACAAGAATGGCACCCCATAGTGCCACACACATACATCATTAAGAGCCATACAGTGCGCCACACACACACACACACACTTAGTGAGAGTAGTGGGAAAATGGAATGCACTTCAGGAACAGGTTGTGGAAGCAAATACTATTCATAATTTTAAAACCAGGTATGATAGGGAAATGGGACAGGAGTCATTGCTGTAAACAACCGATGCTCGAAAGGCGGGATCCAAGAGTCAATGCTCGATCCTGCAGACACAACTAGGTGAGTACAACTAGGTGAGTACACACACACATGACATTAGCCAAAAACAGCCAAGAATCCCCATTTCTCACGCAACCTCTCGTTACCAGGTGGATAATGGGATTTACAAAGAGAAGTAGAAAGGAACAAGGAAGGATGACGAGAGAAAGGAGAATCAGGAGACAAGGAAGCAGAAGAATCCTTCCTTATCCTCAAGGAAGGAGGATAAGGCAGGTGGGACATGGATAAGGAAGTAGGAGACAAGCGGGGGGGGGGGGTGAGGAAGAGGTACGAGGCCGCTTCCAGGATGTGAAGCTGGACCGGACGTCCCTCTTCGGGTATCCGGCTCCTGATATTTCTACCTGTCGCTGCTAAATAGGAAGAGCTGTGGGAGTGGCCACTGTAACTTGTAGAGACGACGCCCTATCCCAGGGACCACTTAAAATGGGATTAATAGTCTTCCAGAGACTATAATAGTCACTTAAAATAGGGCTAATAGTCTTCCAGAGACTATAATAGTCACTTAAAATAGGGCTAATAGTCTTCCAGCCTTCCTGACTGCAGCCTATCATGCTGAAGTCTGAGGACTGACTGCAGCCTATCATGCTAAACCCAGAGCCCTAACTGCAGTCTATCATGCTGAAGTCTGATGACTGACTGCAGTCTATCATGCTGAAGTCTGAGGACTGACTGCAGTCTATCATGCTAAAGCCAGAGCCCTGACTGCAGCCTATCATGCTGAAGTCTGATGACTGACTGCAGTCTATCATGCTAAAGCAACAGCACTGATTGCAGTCTATCATGTTAAAGCCAGAGCCCTGACTGCAATTATTTGGTAAAAAAGGTTCGAACAATGGACTTTTGCCGCATATTCAATGTTGCCGTTTTCTTTTAAAGTGATAACATGCCTGGGGGATTGTATAGCATATATAAGTATGATATCAAGTTTAAGATAGCGTTTATTAGGCCTGCTAGGACTCCTTGAGCAGGTTAGGTTAGATTCTGTGGATTATTTTTCCAAAAAAATTTTGCAGTATGTCATTTGGGCTTAGTAATATAAAATGTGAACCATATAGTGGATCCAATATTTCATTTTTTGTAAGTTTTGACCAAAAAAAAGTTGAGATATCCTCCAATAAACATTATTGGAGGATGGGCTGCGATCTAGAATGTTTACGAAGCTCCTCTAACTTATTGGTTGAATGGATCATCAACCAATGCTAAATGGGACTCATTAGTAAACATTAAAGGTTGTATTGACGGTTTCTACGACCTAACATTGATATAGCTGCGTTGCTTCGTATGTTTCCGGTCAAAGAGGGGGAAACAATTACAATTTTTGCAGTTACAAACACCTGCAATGATTTATTTGTCCAGATTCAACAAATTTATTTTAAACTTGACCCACTGATGCTAACCTATTTCCCCCCCCCCCTCCCCCCCCCCCCTCCCCCCCCCCGGAAGTTGCAGATAAAGGTTGCAAGCTATTTGCAATTTATTGCACAGACGCAATCCTTCAATGATGCCTATACATGTGGGATCATCAGTGGATGCCCGATTCGCAGTGTTGGTGACGCAGGGGTGACGCAGGGGTGACCAGAGGTGACACAAGGGTGACGTTGTGTGTGCTGGGTGATTGGGTAGAATATTATCAAGCTAATTCGTGCACTGGAATTACAAGGTTCCAGTAATCATTCGTGACGTATTTCACTGTTTATGAAATGGGCATATAAAAATCTTGCTAATTTGTGTTTGGTTGTGGATGTGTGTGTGTGTGTGTGTGTGTGTGTGTGTGTGTGTGTGTGTGTGTGTGTGTGTGTGTGTGTGTGTGTGTGTGTGTGTGTGTGTGTGTGTGTTACTATTTGTGTCTGCAGAATCGAGCTAATAGCTCTTGGACCCCACCTTTCTAACCAATCGATTTGTTCTCTATTATGTCTAAATAGATATATTTCTCTCAAAATACACACACACACACACACACACACACACACACACACACACACACACACACACACACACACACAGATGGGGGCCTCGTAGCCTGGTGGATAGCGCGCAGGACTCGTAATTCTGTGGCGCGGGTTCGATTCCCGCACGAGGCAGAAACAAATGGGCAAAGTTTCTTTCACCCCTAAGTGCCCCTGTTACCTAGCAGTAAATAGGTACCTGGGAGTTAGTCAGCTGTCACGGGCTGCTTCCTGGGGGGTGTGTGTGTGGTGTGGAAAAAAAAAGAAAGTAGTTAGTAAGTTAGTAGTTAGTTAGTAAACAGTTGATTGAGAGGCGGGCCGAAAGAGCAAAGCTCAACCCCCGCAAAAACACAACTAGTAAACACAACTAGTAAACACACACACACACACACACACACACACACACACACACACACACACATATGTAAGGCCAATCTTGTAGTATGCAGTCCCAGCATGGAGCCCGTATCTAGTCAAGCACAAGACGAAGCTGGAAAAAGTTCAGAGGTATGTCACTAGGCTAGTGCCAGAACTAAGAGGCGTGAGTTATGAGGGACAGACTACGTGAATTGCACCTCACGTCGCTGGAAGACAAAAGAGCTAGGGGAGACATGATCACCACATACAAAATGTCCCACATCTACTAAAACCAACCCCCTGATGCTATCCACAAACAGTTGCCTAACTCCTAGGTATATACATTTACTGCTAGGGGGGAACAGAGCCATCAGGTGAAAGGAAACGTTGCCCAAACGCTTGTCCCGACGCGGGGATCGAACCCGGGATCTAGGGTTGTGAGTCGCCGAATATTCCCACTCTGTGAGAGAGAGATTGCGACTGTTTAACGCTCTTCACCTGCCGTCACACACAGAAAGGAACCTGTACACCTGTTGATTGACGGTTGAGAGGCGGGACCAAAGAGCCAGAGCTCAACCCCCGCAAGCACAATTAGGTGAGTACAGACTAATCCACTCAGATCATCCCCCCCTTTCAACTATACACACTATATTTCGCATAAATACACATTCACTGACATCCGTATGCAGCAAACTGCAAGTATTAGCTTCAAAATGCTAGTGTTTACAAAGTGGTAGGAGGTGGTGCGTGTGGTGTGGTGTGTGAGGGGGGGAGAGAAGGAGAGGAGAGGAGATCGAGCGCGTAACCCCCTCGCTCAGGCCGTCTGGTGGGAACTGACAGAAAGGGCACCAACTAACGAACGCGGCGCGGTAGGGGGAAGCTCAACATGCGCAGTGGATGCGTCACACTCTCCAACGTAGTGACATATTCTTAACATTATATAGTCTCACCTTCGCTGTGTGTCAGTGCCCCTATGTTGCTGTGTCCCTCGCTCGGCGTCTCCTTATCAGCGTCTGCGTCAGTAGCGACGCTTCAATATTCGTCATTAATGCGATTATGAGACTGATATAGACCTCTTCGTCCGGAGTAGATTTGGACAAAGATCTCTGTATTACACGAAAAATCATAAAATCTACGAGAAAATATGGAAAGAGAATTGTAGGTGATATGCGCCACTTGAGCCTCTCGCGTGGGGATTGGCTGTGACGTCACCGTCGCCACACGCTACTCGCTTATAGCATGCCGACTGTTTACTACAAGCTTCAGTTGTGTATTTGCCGTGAGAGGAGGAGGTTGCGTGCTGAGAGAGAGTGAGTTGCTGTGGACTTGGCCAGTCAGGGCGACGGCAAAAATGTTACCCCTTGCGAATTATGAGAGGGTTCCAGTGCCCACCTCGACCACTACAGTGTTTGGATCTATGCTGGTCAACGATAGCTCCAATACGCCATATTCTGATGCCACACAGGTGAGGAAGATTTAGCTTGTGGACTTAGATTTTGGCGGCGTGAGTGAAGTAGCTTGTTGCTTCAGGGGTCCGTCCACATGGGCTCCAAGGAGACTCTTGTGTTCGTGTGTCGTGATGCTTCATTCGTCAGTGTTTTAGTCTCGTTTTAATCCGTTTTTCCGCAATGTTTTATAGTTGTGTTGGTCTGGAAAGATATATATCCCCCCTCCCCCCACGTGTGTCCCACTGACTATTATATAGTTAGGCCTGGTAGCCAAATTATTATTATTAGTATCAATATTATTATCAGTATTACTAGCTTCTGGTAGTGTGCGATATTTATATGTATTTATTTTCAATTGTATTCAACATCTAGAGATCGCCTTCGACTTCTCTCAGTTTAGGGTTGGTAGCCTACAGCTGTTGTGGAAACAAAATATAAGAATTCTACAAGCTTGATAAATGGAATTTCTACGCGTATTTCCCTTGTGTCATGTTTCAAAAATCAAATAGCCTCGTGAATGATGCAAACTCCAGCGCCTTCATATCTGTACTGATCACGTGGAAGCCTTGTTTTGTAGAAAAAAAATATATTAATTTATTTTTTATTAAACTTTAAATTTACACCTAAATCTTTGAACCAGAGAGTCGAGCATCCCATGTCTGCATTAAGCCTCAGTGTGTGTGTGTGTGTGTGTGTTGAAATAAATCACTTTTGTCATTTAATTATTTTCAAAAAGAATCTGGTCACTGGTGGACATGCTCTCGCGTGGGGGGAGAGAGACCCTAAGTTGATTATTGGAAAGGGAGGAGATAGGTAATCAGAGGTAATCATGTTTGTGTGTGTGTCGGCATGGTGATAAGGACACCTGGGCTCGGGCCTAGTGTTAAAAGTAGAACCTGTGAGGTGATAAAAGCCTGATATGGTATGGCTATGGTCAAATGTAGGTGAACGGTGACTTACTTAGTGGGGCGAGGCTAAGTAGCGTAGATATGTTTATAAAAGTTATTTTTGGCGAGGTACTTATTCTTTTGTGTGTTTGTGACTTATGGAAAGCTTTTCTCGTGTGATATTGTAAATTGGGTTATTAACGATAAATGGAAATGAAGTATTAAACGCATGTGTTTCTGAATCGTTTGGCCTTGTATGTAGGCAAATAGTGGTCAAGGTGAGCCTATTCAATAAAATGCACTGTTTCAAGAATATCATATCAGCCAACTTTGATATCTGGTAATTAAGTGTTCTTGGTTCTTGTTCTTGTACTTGATACAGTAGTAGCATGTAGCCAAGTAACTTATTTTAAATAACGTACTTTTTGTTTTGAAAGTGGGGAAAATGTTTTTCATCATTTAACAATTTTTATAAGTTAACTTAAAAAAATAAACAATCAAAACAAAGTTACCTCCGACTTCTGAATATGTGGAAGTAATAAGATGAAGATGAAAATACAATGACTGTATTCTACATTACCGAAGCTAGCCTACTCGTGTAGCCAGAGCGGTTACCAACGTAATTTGATGTAGTTGTCACTGTAGGATCATTACGGGTACGACACGAAGGATGAACGAGTCACAGACACATGGGTAGAAACTTTAGACCATAAAGCAGTGAAATGTTTTGCTATCTCTTGCTACTTGGAATTTGTTTGAAGTATATTTATTGGGACTATAAATGTTAATGCTTGATTCTCATCATTTGAAAGATACTGCATTGTTTGCCCCCTCGTCATTGTTTGTGATTAGAGATGAGGGATGGGATTGCATGATATTAAATAAAGGATATCCATAAAGGATATCCATAAAAGATATTCAACTACCTAGCTGGACTGACACACTTATGGACACTATGCCAGAAGACATAGATTAAATTTTCTCGCTGTTCCTTTTCTCTGCTTTATTTTATAAATATACAAGAGTTCTTACATTCTTGTTTGAACTTGCAAGAAAAGCTGTGGGTTAGTTAGTGAGAGAATGTCGCTTGACCTAAAATGAACAAGAATGACAACAACGCTACGGTGTAAAAGGGCAGAAATCGCTTAATCCGAACGATCAATTGTGCATTTCTCTTCTCGATATTGTTATAAAAACGAGGTATAAATCCATAGTCGTAGATATAAATAAAATGTTAAATGTTACCAGCCAATAAGTGACGACATGGTGATCGTAGCAGCGTGCTGGCCCGTGTGCTTCTCGGGTCTGTCGCGAGCCCAGAAATCAACAATAACGACAGCAACAACAGCAGCAGCCAGAGAACTGTTGCGCTCTACCCGACACGCTGGGGGGAGGGTGGGGAAGGAGTGGTGTGTGTGTGTTGGGGAAGGGTGAGGGTGGGGTGGGGGGGATTATTATGTTAGCACGGCGGGTGGGGATGACGGACTATAACCACCCCCACCACCACCCTGTGGGTGTTGGGTGGGAGGGTAGGGGTTTCTTAGTGGGGGTATAGGGGGCTAATTTACTTTGGTACGGGTGCTGGGATTAATTGTTGGTTTGTGGGTGGGAGGATTGAATAGGTGGGGATTTATGCGTTAAAGTGGAGACATTCGCAACACACACACACGCGCACATACATAATGCGTTTATTGGATGTCGTTCGTAGCACAGAACACGCTTGTAGGGTATTGAATCCCGCAAAACATTACGACATATGTTTCCGGCCGGCGACTGGATGGCGAGCAGTCAGAGAAACAGCCAACACAAGTAGAGGAGTTTGCTGGCGCGCTCCCCACCCCCTCCCCACCTCCCCACCCCCTCCCAAACCCCCTCTCCCCACATCCCCAACCCTCACCCCTGGCGATGCCTCGGGTTGTCGGTGTGGACTAAACACCCCCCCCTATTACCTATTTACCTAAACACGGCGCCCTAATACACACAGCAGCTCCCCCCTTGATTTGACTTTGTTTCCACATTGTTTACCCGTGTTTGGATATGATGTCAGGTGTTGTGTGTGTGTGTGGAGGCTGTGTGTATGTTTGGCATGGGATATAGGGCGAGGTGTAAAGGGAATTGGGTTTAAAATGTTGTGGAGTTCAAACTATGTTGTGTGTGTGTGTGTGTGTGTGTGTGTGTGTGGTGTGTGTGTGTGTGTGTTTTTGCAAGCGTATAAGGAAACCTGGCAATTGCGTGTGGATGGGAGGTGAGGGGGGAGGGGGAAGGGGGATTGGTGCGTTCCCGAGAGAACACAGGGAGGAACATAGAAGGGTGTCAGTAGAACAGTAGTGACACACACACACACACACACACACACCACACACACACACACACACACACACACACACACACCACACACACACACACACACACACACACGCACACACACAACAACACCCTTTGCGTAACCACTCCCACCAGCCTGCCGCCACTTATGTGTGGGTCTCTTGTGCTGTTGCTAGGCTACTATCTACCCCCCCCCCTCCTCCCCCCCTACCTCCTCACTTTCTTTAATCCTCCCCAACCTCCCCCTCCCCCCTCTCCCCAATGTTGTTCCCACCTTCACGACCCCTCAGCTTACTGTTTTTGTCCCCCGACCCCCCTCTGTAGCCTGGCCTCCGCCCGCCGAGAGAGAGAGAGAGAGAGAGAGAGAGAGAGAGAGAGAGAGAGAGAGAGGCAGTACAATCTCTTGTTAATAGGGAATACTGCTGGTGAAGTTCCATAAAATCCTCCTTCCTCCTTTCTACCTTATGAATTTGCTGCTCTTAGCTCTACTGTTTCTTTTGCTGCTGCGACGGATGGCGTCGTTGCTGTTATCGCTGATGACAGGAGTCGCTCTCTCTCTTACTGCCGGCTGCAGGCATTTCCTGTTGAGGGTTGAGCTCGCTAGTCGCCAGCACTCCCACAACCATGGCACACATTTATATTGGCCACTGGTTTACTGGTCATTTCTCTCCCCCCCCACTTCTCCGTCTGCCAGTAACCGTTCACTCTTCCTCTCTCCTTCTCCAGTAAGAACTCACTCTTCGGCTCCTCTTCACCGTCATTAATAACCCCCTCTTCGTCCCCCCCTCCCCCCTTAACCCCCTTTCCGTCATTCGTCACCCCTTTACCACCACTTCCCTTCATTGTGACCCCTTTCAGCGACACTTCGTCTCCCCTTCAGCGTCACTGCCCCTCTCCCTCTCTTCCCCCTTCCCTTTTCATTTCCCCTCAGGCAGCATCATTATCGCCACCACCCAGGCTGCTCGGTGACCATTACATTACACGCACGAGCCAATTATTCCCCTCTTAGTCCGTCCTGTTGAATCCCGTAAACTAATCCTGTTTTGCCGGAGTCTGGGCGGCGCCCCCCATAGTAACTCACGGTGAGGGCTTCGGAGGGGATACGAAGAGGGGTTGATGAACTTGTTAAAAGAGGGGAAGGGAGAGGAGAGAGAAAGGGGGAAAAAGAAGGTAGAGACGGGGTGTGATTTCCTATAGGCTTTCATTGGTGGTGAGTAAATTGTTTCTAGGTCGACTGTATTATGAGATCTCGATCATATATATATATATATATATATATATATATAATATATATATATATATTATATATATATATATTATATTATATATATATATATATGATCGAGATCTCATAATACAGTCGACCTAGAAACAATTTACTATATATATATATATTATATATATATATATAATTATATATTATATATATATATATATATATATATATATATATATATATATATATATATATATATATATGTCTAGGGATAAATTGAGGCCACGTTCCGATCCCTCTTCAGTGTGTGTGTGTGTGTGTGTGTGTACCATATGTGACCCTTAACTAGCCTTTTTTCTTCTTCTTCTTCACCTGAGAATCTCAAGACAGTGAAATATTTAGTGTCTTCGTCACTGGGGGGAGCACATATAGGGGGATAATAAATTATCTGTCGTACCCAAACTAGCAGTAAATAGGTACCTGGGAGTTAGACAGCTGCTACGGGCTGCTTCTTGGGGGTATGTGAAACAAAAAGGAGACGAGGACCGGGCCGCGGGGACGCTAAGCCCCGAAATCATCTCAAGATAACTTAACCCATTAATGGTATTTAATTTCCCCTCCCCCTTATCCCTAAACTCCTGTTTTTAATGACCATCAACGAGGTTAGGAACGAATATAACAGGGACAGATACGATTGCAATTGGGGTTAAGGGAAGACTTGAGGAGATAGGACGAAGGAAGAAGGGGGAAAGAACGAAGGAAGAAGGGGGAAAGAACGAAGGAAGAAGGGGGAAAGAACGAAGGAAGAAGGGGGAAAGAACGAAGGAAGAAGGGGGAAAGAACGAAGGAAGAAGGGGGAAAGGGGAGAGGATGGGAGGAATTCCCTTAACTGTTACAATGGTACGACTGCAACACTGACAGGGTACAAGGCAAAAAAGACTGCAACACCGGCTTCAAGAAACAATACAAAAGTAACACACACAACCGTAAATTAATACAACTGCGATCTTCGTTTTGCATTTTTTGCACAAATTATCCACACTTGCGAAAATATGCTACGTGCGAGGGGCAACTAAAACAAACTTAGCACTTTTGAGTTTCGAATCAAAAAGCTCTCCCTGTGTCCATTCCACCTCTCCTTGCCCTTCCCACTTTCTCTCCGTGCCCTTCCCACCTTCTCATGCTCCCAATCCTGAACCTAACCTAATACATATTCATCCCTTCCTCTATGTAATATATTAGTAAAGGTTTTTTTTCTGTGTTCTGAGCTCGTAAGGAAATGGCCAGACGCTTGGGGCCAGTCTCACCCAACTTTGCAAGGTGAATCATGCGGGATATGCGAGTGTCATAAGCCGGTAAGGGTCGGCTCTAGTGCCACACTTTCAGAAATATCGGTGTTTATAGTTATCCCTGCGATTTTCATGACGTCTGAAATAGATTCAGTCATGTTTTCCATAGAATTCTTGTGTTTTATTCCATATCACTCATTCAGATTCAAGTATTACATTTTCGGAGATGAAGAGAGAGAGAGAGAGAGAGAGAGAGAGAGAGAGAGAGAGAGAGAGAGAGAGAGAGAGAGAGAGAGAGAGACCCACATCCGGCAAGAGGGTGAGAGGGTCCATAGCTTCTGAGTAGGAAATTAAGAACGTTCAGATAAAACGTTATCGTTTGTCTCTTTTTATTTCGACGTAGAATGTAGGGAAAGGTGGCGTGGCGTGGCGGTAGGTGCTTGGTTGCACAGGCGCCTCTAATGACGTTTTTCTGCCATCTGGAGGAGGGAAGGTGGAGAAACGTCGTCGTTTTTCCATCTTCTGATTTGCGAAGATGGAGAAAAGATGTGAAGATGGAAGGTGCGTTTATTGGGCATTGTCTTCACTCATCCTGTGAGTGGATACACTGCTGGGGTAGTTAACAAATGGAATGCAGTGATGTGGCGGAGGCAGACTCCATACACAGCTTCAAATGTAGATATGATAGAGTCCAATATGCACAGGAATCTGTACACCAGTTGTAGGAGGCGGGACCAAAGAGCCGAAGCTCAACCCCTACTAGCACAACTAGGTGAGTACTGCCGTAACACCATGTAACAACACCACCAGTACGAAGCAATTCCGAAATCCCGCTGGGTTTGTTAATCCTTGTCATTTAGTGTTTTTCCAATTTTGTAGTTCGCGTGGTTTGTGTGTGTACAGTAGCCTAGCGACTACTGTACACACACACAACTTTTTATCAACTTTATGTACACTGTTTATAAACTTTAAATGCACTGTAAGAGATGATTTTGGGTTTGTTTTGCCTCCCTCGTGTTTTCAGCCACTGATAAGGGTTAACATAGGCCCGTCCTTCACATATAGCCTAATGTGAATAGAATTCGAGTATCTACCACCTCGTTGTTCTTCCCTTCTAGCCTATCCTCGTCTTCCTGCTAGTCTCGTCTCCCGCTTACTAGTATATCCTTCTCTCCCCACTTCATCCCCCCAAATACTTTTTCTCCTAACATCTCTTTCTCTCTATCCGCTCTTAGTCTCATCTCCCCCTCGTCTCGTGTTAGTGCTGACAGACACGGGAGTTTGTACCTCATTTGAAATGGATTGAAAACTTCCTATTGATGTTCTGACTGGTAGAAAACGAAGTCTTGCACATAGGGGCACTCTGCTAGCTGGCATGATATCGTTTTTTTTACGGGGTGTAAATCTTTTTTGCAGTTAGTAAATCAGAGCGCTATCCTAGCCAATCACACATCAACTGGTGTAGTGAATGTGTACCCACCTAGTTGTGCTTGCGGAGGGGGGTTGAGCTCTGGATCTTTGGTCCCGCCTCTCAACTGTCAGTCAACTAGTGTACAGATTCCTGAGCCTTCTGGGTTCTATAAAGCTACAGCTGTGTAATTACCTAAGTGTAGTTACAGGATGAGAGCTACGCTCGTGGTGTCCCGTCTTTCCAACACTCTTTGTCATATAATGCTTTGAAACTATTGACGGTCTTGGCCTCCACCACCTTCTCACCTAACTTGTTCCAACCGTCTACCACTCTGCGAAAGTGAATTTTCTTATATTTCTTCATCTTCTTATATCTTCTTCGACATCAGTGTGTGTGTGTGTGCTCATCTAGATGTGCTTGCAGGGTCGAGGACAGGCTTTGTCCTGTTACACAAACTATTGCGGTGTTGACAAACTAAAAGGAAATACGCGTCTTGAGAGCCCGCCAACAGGTTGCCTTAAGGATGGGAGGGTGGGTTACGAACCCCCTTGCCATCTGCTTGTGTCAGACCCGTGTGATGACAGCTCATGATTGACAGGTTGGGGGGGGGGAGGGGGAAGGCGGGCTGGTAGGGAGAGGCGATGGCAATGTGTGGCAACCGTTCCATTGGCCAGGGTTAGTGGGTGTGGGGGATAGTGGGTGTGGGGGAAGGGGGGAAGGGGACGAAGGGAGGGGACTCTATTTACCAAGCGAGTATCGTGTCAGGCTCTTTAGTTTAAAAGAGTTGGGAAGCTGATTTTATTTTGTGTATTTTGTATTTTGTTGATATTTCGAACCTTTTTAAGAGTACTTTCCATCCTTCCTAATAATGGTAACTCCTTTCTAGCTAATGATATATAGACCCCTATTTCTTACAATTTTATTACACTATATTAATTTTGTCTATAGTAGATAGACCAGATATGCTATATTAATAGCCTATCTATATTTTTGTCTAGTAGATAGGCAGATAGGCTATATTAAGTTTTGTCTATAGTAAATGAGTTCAGAAAGTGTACTCAGTACACTTCCTGAACTCATTATAACACTGTTCAATAGATGGGTGTTGGGTGCATAACATAAAGACATAAATAAAAATGAATGTAGGCTCATCAGGCACACAAATGCTAATTTAGTCTAGCTTAAAAAAAAACAAGGGGGAGGTGAAGTTCCAGTTCCTGAACCTATTCTATGCCAGTAACCTTTGAACTACTGTCTACATGTTGAGGTTTAAAATATTAAACTAAATTACACTAAATGAAGTAAAATATTCTAAATCTTGTTATTTTTTATTGTTTTTACAGACGAAGAAACACCCACCCAACCACATCAAACGTCCCATGAACGCCTTCATGGTCTGGTCGCAGATGGAGCGGCGGGAGATCATCAAGTTTGCTCCCGATATGCACAACGCCGAGATCTCCAAGCAGCTGGGACGCCGCTGGAAGCTTCTGTCGGAGGAGCAGCGGCGACCCTACCGCGACGAGGCTGAACGTCTGAAGCAGCTGCACATGCGCGAATACCCGAACTATAAGTACCGGCCGCGCAAGAAGGGCCAGAAGGCCCAGCTGAAAGGTGTAACGGAAAAGAATGGCGGCAAGGTCACCAAGGTCAGGGACCACGGCCACAGCAAGGACCGGGCCGCCAAGAGTGTTGTTAATGTGATCAGTAACACCCGCATCACTCACACACACGGCCTCGAAGTCGATCACAACAAGCTGGGGATCAAGATCACCATCGACGACGACTTCAAGAGGTCTCACCGGATGCCACAGACCGGTGTCATGGCACTAACCCCACCGTCGCCGCCAGAAGTGCCCGCCAGCCCTCCCTGTGACCTCCCAGATTCACCGGAGAGTGCCTCCATGTACGAAGATCAGCCGGCCTTTTCTTACAACCCTGCTGTCACCGCCCAGTACCATTCAAGTGTTACAGCCACCAGCACCAACAGTCTGTCCACTCTTACCACATCCATCCATAGCGCACTCTCCTGCCCCAACACAATCAAGCAGGAACCAGAGGATCTTCTTTATGAAGCCGTTTACACTCCACAGAGTCTAGCGTCCCCTGGTCTCGGCTCTCCACTAAGTGAAGCTCCAACCACACCTAACTTTAAGACAGAGATTAAGAAGGAAATACAGAGTCCACACGAGTTTTCCAATGAAAAGCCCACAGATCATGCCACTCTTGATGACCTGTATAGTATCACAGATTTCATCCCCATCACAGACATAAAGATGGATTTGGATTCCCTTGATGCAGCTGACATTGACTTCGATGCCGTCAGCACAAGTTCGGGTTCCCACTTCGACTTTCCTAGTGTGACTGAGGAAACTGATCACCTTTTGTCAGATTGCGGTCTTTCCCACACGTGGATTGGTTCCAGCAATTTCCTGCTATAGGCAGGGAGGCCGGAACTTGTGCAACGAGTGTTGATTTTTATATAAATATATATATATATATATTTTCTTTCGTGTTTACAACGAAAGACAGACTTATCTGTCCAGCATAGACTTAAATGTACTCTAGTGAAGTCATTAGTACACGAGAGACATGTTGGACCGGGACCAATGTCCTAACCAAGCTTTCGAAGCCTCCATAATGGTGCCAGTGCCTTCAACCATTGTTTCCTAAGATTTTTCAACAGTACCACAACAGACCAAGCCAGCCAGCCAGAGTTACAGCATTGTGGTCAACAAAATGGTGCACAAAAATAATGTCGTTGATAAATTGACTAGCCTCAGTTGCCAGCAATGTACAGTTTCCTCTGATGTTTCTCTCGTGGAAAACTCCCAGTGATTGTAAGTCATTTTAACTTTACTGTGTATGAGGCTTTTCTGTGATGTCCTTTTTCTTGAATAGGCCTAAGTGCAAATGGACGGTTTGGAGTTTGATTTCTAAATGAACTGTTAAGAATTATGAAACTGCTTCAGTGCTACAAAATACAGGCAGTCGGTTTTATGGAGGGAAATAGTGTGTGTGTACATTAAATATTGTAAAGATGAAAGGGGGTTGGAGAAGCTACACGTTATAATCATACCCCGCTTTGTGCTCCTGTCTCCACCATCTTGTGAAGGGGCGAAGGTCATTGTATCAACACATGACTCGCGGATACTGTGGTGGTACATGTTCCGAGTCACCCCAAGAGACCCAAGCTCTCTAAGACTGACACTTCAACATCGTCGATGTCGAGGGACGGCGCTACAAGAAGCACATCTGGTCGAGGATCGTATGCGTGTGTGATGGAGACCGGTCGACTGCAGTGCAGGTGTGGGTTCGACAGGCAAATGTTTTGAGGCAGATCGTCAGTGTTCAAGACATCATTCGCCCCTTTGGATGATGACGTCCGCCACCTTGTTTAACTGGACAGGTAAGTTTGTGTTTGTTATACGTGCAGCGTAGTGTTATAAATTTGGTTAACGGTTAGAAAAAGACAGATTTGCAATGCAACATTCATTTTTAGATAAAAATCTTCGATCTAACTTTTGCTTGTGTTATTTTTTATACATATAATTCGCTTTCTTCATTGGGAGATTGACTATATGCTTGTAAAATATTGCTTGGATATTGCTTGGATGCTCACAGTACCGTCTCGAAATTTACATAACTGGCAGTAAAACGGAGATTTAAGCTTTCACTCATGCTGAGTTGTCTAGTAGAATTCAACCATTTGCCCCCCATGTAATTTCAATTGCAAATCACAAAATTGTGCATAACATTGATATTGTAGCATAAGTCAACTTATGACTTAGATGAAGGGTGGGATAACCAACAGATTTTTTGGTGATGCTTCCAAGAATGTTTTAAATCTCATACAGTGTTAACTAACTAACAGTTACATAGTTTCTGAAATCTTTCCTTATTGTAACCATATATATATATATATATATATATATATATATATATATATATATATATATATATATATATATATATATATATTATATATATATATTCCAAAATATGTTCAAATAATACAGTTCTCGTTCATGTATCGTTCCAGATGTGAACCTCAGACAAGCTTGAAGACCTGCCCCGGACACACACTGATTCCCCAGCGGGCATTGGACACAGTTTGAGTGACGTCATTAGTGCAATAAACAAATGGCAGTTCAGTGGCGTTTCTTGTAAAAAAAAAGATAAGAAGATAGTTTGTAGTATTTATATATTGTTACAAGAGTTTATTATCGTTATCCCAGTGATAGAGTAAACAATGAAGACTTTGTTTTATCCACTTTTTTTGGTTTATGTGAACAAACAAAAATATATTTTTGTTTGGGGGGATAAGGGATTTTTTTGTTTGATAGTTATAACATCATATTGAGATGTTGTACCTATATGACGTCACTGGACTTGTTCTTTTAACCCCACCTGATGCTGATGATGTCACTGCTCTTGAGTATTGAGACCCCATTAATCGGAAGAAGAAGAAGAAAAACGGTGTCAGTTTTTGTTTGAAATTCTAGTCAGTACAACATTATTACTTTGCAATAGAAATAACAACTCAAATAATGTTTTGTCATGTATTTCAATTTGAGACAGCAATTATTTGATATGTTTATTTAATGTTCGATATATGTTTAAATCGTTCAAAGTTTATATATAATTTTTTTTTTAATCGGTAGAAGGAAATTCCTGTACATTATAAATTGGTTTCACATCAAAACAAAACAAAAAAAAATAATAAAAAATAATAAAAATAGTTGCTCAAAAGGTGTAAAATTCAGTAGCTTTTAAGACAAGACTTTTACAAAAGATAACATCAGAAATTTTCACACAAATGATCTCATTCTCTTCAGCGATAAACCCATAAATTACTTAGTTTGTACTTTTTGTTACTTCATTAACATACTATTTACTCCCCCCATCTTCCCCACCCCCTCGTCCTTTCTTTCTCTTTAAGACGTTCCTTCCTTTCTTCCTTCCTTCCTTCTGCCTGAAAAAAAATAATAACTTATATTATTGATCATATTTTGTACATAGTGTTATATTAAAAATATTCCTTGTACAGTTATACTATATGGCATTTCTTCATTAAGATAAAACTACAGGTTTTTTATATATTTTGTAGTGGTAGCGACTGTAGGTCTCGTGCCCGGGAAGACGGGCATGAGAAACAAATACATTTTTATATGTTTCAAGTGATTGTCTTTGCGTTTACTCATATCCTTTTATCCTTATCGATTTTGTTTATAAATATATAAAAATCGATATAAAAATATATCGATTTTTATATATTTGAATAAAATATATCCATTTTATTCAAATGGATGTCATTGATGCATTTTGGGGTCTTATGAAGAGAAAGTTAGATAGTGAAAGAAAAAGTTTATAGTTAAACAGTTGACGAGCACATTGAAACTATTGTATGAAGGAACAGAAGCATCCTTTATAAAAAAAAAATACCTTTTCAAAACACCCAAGAAAATGTTAAAACATAAAAATGGCATTTAAAGACATGCAAGTGACACTACTAAGAAAGAGAAATTTGACAAATCTTGTAAAATGAGCTTTTTTTTAAGAAAAGAAAAACAGGCTTTGTATATGATTTTGTAAATAAATTATTCTAAAATAATTGTACTTATAGCAAACTATTTGGTCAAAAGTACCAAATGTGTACAATTGGGCATCCGAAAAAAGTTAAAATTTTCTTTACTAATGTACTGAATTATAGTAATATTTACTTTATTGAAAGGTAATTCAATTGGCTTTCTAGAAATTTTGGAATATAATTAAAAGAACTATCCAAGCAATCCTAATATATATATATATATATATATATATATATATATATATATATATATATATATATATATATAATATATATATTATATATATATATATATATATATATATATTGCTATGTAGCCTAGGAGTGGCCCATCAGTACATAGTGGTACGTTCGACCATGTAGATGCTGTAAGTACCACCATTTTACATTGAAATACGTACATATGTACACCCTAAGTTGTATCTGCTCGGTGTACACACGCTTGAGAGTATAGGACTAAAGCTTGCTAGTAAGTCCTCGGCCACATCCAGGGCTAAAGTATGTTTGCTAGTTGGTCGGTAAAGCTATTGTGGTGGCCTTAATACCTCTCCAGAGATTGATAGGCCTTGATCTAAACACCAAATAAATA